AGAGAGAGAGAGAGAGAGAGAGAGAGAGAGGCAGACAGACAGACAGACAGACAGACAGACAGAGAGCGCAAGAAAGAGACAGTAAATAAATAACAAATATCTGACAGACTCCACCCACCAACTATCCAGACGTTGTGAGGGAAGGAAGAGGAAAGACATTTATCAGGAAAGACAAACATATCTTATCGCAATTTGTCATGAGGAGATACAACGAGACAGATTCCCCAGACAAATACATACCGGTGGATCCAGGTTGCTTCTCTTCGGGAACACTAAAAACAGCACATTTTGCACGGCACTAACAAACTCCAGGTTGGAGGCAACTGATTTTTCGTTTGAAGTAAATCCAGAAAGAATCACTCACAACAGTTGTCAACACAGCATGCGTGAGGAAGAATAGCATTACAAAGTCTTGTTGCAAAGTGGGATTACAAAATCTGACAATAATAAAGTCTTACGGCAACGTTTTATTACAACGTCTGGCTACAAAGTTTTGTTACAAAATATCACAAAGTCTGATTGCAAAGTCTGATCATACAGTAGTTTTACAACAATGCTTTATTACGAAGTCTGATTATAGCATCAATGTCTTATTATACTGCCTGTTTACAAAGTCTTGTTACAACGTCTGGTTACAAAGTCTGATAATAGTCTTACAGCAACGTTTCATTACTATGTCTGCTTACAAAGTCTTGTTACGAAGTCTGATTACGAAGTCTTATCAGAGAAGGGAATATATCACAGCGCACAATCGCGGGCAAGAGAGGGAGTGAGAGAGAGGAGCGGCGAGCGAATCCGATACTGGAAGTCTATTGAGAAGTTGAATCCTGGCATGTGGTGAAAAGCGCGCTCACGGCGTGAGAAAGCTCAGGAAGAAGACAGGGGCAGGATAGGGAGCGGGAAGCAAGCGGAGATTCGAGAGAACGAAGGAGAGAGGGGGAGAGAGGGGAAGGAGAGAGAGGACAGACATGCAGACAAAACGAGCGGGGGGCAGACAGATTAAGGGATGAGAGAGAGAGAGTGAGAGAGAGAGAGAGAGAGAGAGAGAGTATGTTTGTGTGTGCGTGCGTGTGCGTGTGTGTGCGTGTGAGTGTGTGTGTGTGACAGAGAGAGAGAGAGAGAGAGAGG